AGGAATAATATCAATTACGTGTTTGAGTTTGTGTGTGTTAAGCCGCGTTATAAAGCTAGTTACAAGACGGCGGCGTGTAGTTTGCACTTACGGATTTCCGTAATTTAGAGAAAAATTTAAAATATTTACCTACAATTTTTTTTATTGATTCGGACACAGAATCGATATCCGAGTCCTAGAAAATCACGCGGCTTTAAAACAACACCTTGTATAATAATTATTATAAAAGGTATTGCTATTTTGATATAAGAATTTTAAATATTCACATGATTAGGGGAAAACTGTTACCTATACGATATGACGTCATTCCATCAACATAATACAATAATTAAACTCGAGTTTTTTTTACTTTGCTTTCCTTATTTCAATATCTTTGCGATCATTATCAAACGGAGACCTTATCATTGCTTAATTCTCAGTATTACTTATCCATGATATAGGTAGGTAGTTAAATAAACTTAGACGTAACGTAGGCCAGTTAGCCTTGACTTATATTCTTTTTTATGGGATCAGCCTGTAAACGAGCAAATGGATCACCTGATGGTAAGCAATCGGCGTCGCCCATGGGCACTCGGAACACCAGAGGCGTCACAAGTGCATATCGGTATTTTCATCATCACCAATGGCGTCTCATATGACTGATATGAATCAGCCATAAGACGACACTGCGGAATATAAGCCTCCTCCAATGAAAAAAGTAGGGCTTTCAGATGGTCGGTATTTAGAGGATTAGGAATTTGAGGATATTTGGGGAATCGGGGATTATAGTTTGTTCGCGTTAAGAATGCAGTGAATCGTAAGTGCAACTGTAAGATAAAGGTGTATTCACAGTTGTGTGAAATTTAAACAAAGTATATTTTTAAATATTAAGTTTAATAAATTTATAAAACAACACTTTAATGTTTAAAATCAGTGTAGGGAACGGAGCTAGACTGACGGAGAATGGCTGACTAGATTTATAACGCGAATGAATGACTGCATTTTTAACGCGAACGACTGACTGCTTTTTAACGCGAACGACTGACTGCATTTTTAACGCGAATGCCTGACTGCATTTTTAACGCGAACGACTGACTGCATTTTTAACGCGAATGACTGACTGCATTTTCATGTGAACGACTGACTGCATTTTTTATCCGAATAGTCATTCAAAATGCAGTCAGTCGACTGCATTCTTAAATACTGTAGGGAGATTCGGAAGGGCAATAATTGCGCCATCAATTTAATTTTATATTCTTTCCTTCCAGACATAGACCAATCTCTAAGTGGCAACTATACCTGCCTAGCAAAGAATCTCTACGGCTCTGACTCAGTAGAATACACAGTGATTGTTCTACCTTTACCTGAAGCTCCTATACTCCGAGCGACTCCGTACAAAGACTCGATACTGGTGGAATGGGAGCAGCCATACTATTCTGTCAGTAATAGGAGTTCTAGTCAGAAGATTAGTAAGTATCTTTTTTATGGCATAAGCCAGTAAACTAGCAGACGGATCACCTGATTGTAAGCAATCGGCGTCGCCCATGGACACCTGTAACACTAGAGGCGTTACAAGTGCGTTACCGGCCTTTTCGGGATTAGGAGTTTGAGGATCGTTGAGCATTCGGGAATTGGGGAGATTGGGGAATGGGAGGGTAATTGGGCCTCCGGTAACCTCACTCACACGATGAAACACAACGCAAGCGTTGCTTCACGTCGGTTTTCTGTGAAGCCGTGGTATCACTCCGGTCGAGCCGGCCCATTCGTGCCGAAGCATGGCTGTCCCACACTTAAAAGAACTTTCTGAAGAGGTAAAATGTGCCTTGTGTTAAACTGCATTAAGAATTATATCAGTTGGATTTAAAATGTCTTTTGTAAATTCTTGAAGAGTACTCTGGATTTACGTTTATACTATCTTTGAAATAAAGAGGTAGTACTAGTTTTCAAGGAATCTATGTGTGCCCATTTCTCTCAGGAGCTCAATTCAAATATTAGAGATCAATGAACATCATAATATACCTAGTTAAGCTTTATGTATGTAAGTGAAAATAATTGACTTTTCTACCTTATTCACCAGCGAAAGAGCAAACTTGCCAAAGAAACAAAAGAAGCTGGAAATAAACCAAATATTATTTTGTTGCCTTTCCGCTAACAACTTAAAAATCACATCGTTCAAAATGTTTTATCACTTACAGGTTACAGTTTGACATGGAAGGAAGCCAACAGTCCATGGAGAGAGGCGTGGCCAGCGAACAAACTGCCCAACTTATCGGGAGTCCAGAAACATGCTCTGACTGGCCTCAAGTGCGGCACTAAATATTCCTTGCGAATTACTGCCACCAATAAGGTTGGAACTTCACAACCTGCTTATTTGGATGTCAGTACTTTGGGTGGAGGTAAGTTGGGATCCCTTAGGAGAATCCTTACTAATATTATAAATCGGAAAGTGAGTTTGTTTGTTTGTTCCGCTTTCACGCCGTAACTACTAAACCGATTGCTTTGAATTTTTACTGACGTAAAGTTCGAAGTCTGGATTAAATAATAGGGTACTTTTTATCCCGGAAAAATTAATATTCTCGAGGAAAAACGAAATTATTGATACAGATGGCGCTGTGTGTATTGGTATATGTCTCATAGAGTACATTTTATTCTTTTGTGACGCGAGCAAAGCCGCGGGTAAAAGCTAGTAGACCAATAAAAGAATTTTATGCTCTGTTGTGGAGATTTTTGTAGATTATTTTGGTATTGTAATCATTAACTTCTTTTATTATATATTTGATGGAACGACGTTTGACCACTATCTCGCCTGGTGGTAAGCGTTGATGCGGTCTATGATGGAGCACGTCGTCCCATAAGCAACCTATTCACTCGGGCCTTGAAGACACCCTTCAGGAAATACAGACTCTGGCAAAGAATTCCACTCCTTATCAGTACGCACAAGGTATTCGCATCAAACTTGATGCGAAGCGCTTCGTGCGTGTGGGTCTACCATGAATCGGTAACGCTTCGACGATTGTGTTTATTGCATCAAGTTAAAAATAAATTATTAATGTAGTTCAATTTGATACATTTATTGGAGGGGCTCTCACTAATGTCTTATAAGCTTTGAGTTTTTGACAATCCGAATTAGTATTATCATTCACATTATTTATTTAACATTCTCTACAATTTACATTTTTAAATATTATTTATAATAAAATAATAAAAAAAATATTTAAAAATATAAAAAATAGGTGCCGACCAGTAGCGGAAGCATAGCCCAAGCTACTGGTGGTTAGGGCTCCAGAGACTGAAACCTCCTCATGATACGTGCCGTTTCTAGGAGAACTGCCTTCTGTATCAGGCCTTTGATCCATCCACCTAACGCCAGCCTCCTGAGACGGATGTCGAGGCTTTTAGGGATTAACCCATTGGCCGACACGACTATCGGCACAATGATAGCCGAATCCACACTGCACATGTCGACAACCTTGTGAGCTAAGTCTAGATATTTTATTTGTTTATCTTTCTCAGTTTTCACGAGGTTCTCGTCATGGGGAATGGTGACATCGATTATCATCGTGCGGCGTACTTGTCGGTCTATCACCACTATGTCAGGTTTATTGGCTGCAATAGCCCTGTCAGTAATGATAGTATTATCATTATTATTGATTTCGTGTGTCATCGCAGTTCAATCAGAATTGTCTTAAAAGATGACCCTATTCAAGGCATCCTTTTACAGTTTTATTAAATTACATTCCAGTTCCAATACCACCATCAACAAACGACTGGTTATGGAGTAACTCCTCACATATATACGTGCAACTAGCTGGCTGGGACCATGGAGGCTGTGCGCTGAGGGTCTTAGATGTGGAGTACAAACAGCTTGGAGGCAGAACCTGGACTAGAGCTCATAATAATATGGTAAGAGATTTATTAAAAAACGCTTGTCTCGTTTTTATAATAACTATGGTGAGACTTACTAAATTAACTAAAAATCCTGGGTTACTCACGTGAATATACTGTAGCCGTGAGCCCGTACGCTGCTCATGAGGAAGGACCCCCTCTATGGTTCGAAACTTAAGGAACCTCGAAGGATTTATACAGTGCCAACTCTACTTTTGATTATGGATTTTGTAAAGCACGCCATCTATAATTTTTAAGTCATTAGCAATAGGTATCGATATACAAGGTATTGTTTTAAAGCCGCGTCATTTTCTAGGAGGTAACTCGGAAACCCATTCTGAGTCCGAATCAACAAAAAAATTGTAGGTAAATATTTAATTTTTTTCTGTAAATTACGGAAATCCGTAAGTGCAAACTACACGCCGCCGTCTTGTAACTAGCTTTATAACGCGGCTTAACACACACAAACTCAAACACGTAATTGATATTATTCCTAATTCCATAAAACTTCAATAAGAAACATTGCTGTCGCTTATTCTGAAATACTGTCGAACTTAAACGATTTATCATAGCCGCATTTTTTTTTTTTTTTTGACATTAAATCTTTATGACTTCTATGACATGCCCCCGAGAAATGACACGGCTTCAAAACTACACCTGGTATACCTTCGAACTATGTATATTTTTTTAAGTATTTCTTGTCGTTTACCTTTACAGCCCTACTCAGACCTCTCTTCATGGAGTCTCCAATCTTTATATCAAACGAAGATCCCAACATTTGCGATCTCAGACCTTACCCCTGGCACATGGTACCAGCTGAGAGTGACTGCAACCAATGAGGCTGGAAGCGTCACCACTACTTATAGTTATGCTACGAAGAATGAAGATGGAAGTAAGTTTGAATTTGATAATACATACATACATACAAGAACATTGAAACAAAGGCGTACTCCGGACACAGTCTTTTGTTTGTTGGATAGTTATTTTTTTAGCTTAACACGAATCTTGGCCATTTCTGTATTGATATATATTTTTTAATCTTTATTAAGAAAAAGGCTTTAACGCGTAGCGATGATGCCAGCCCCTTGATATTATCTTCATGGTCTTTAGCCAAACGGTAAGTTAACATAAATAGGGTAGTTTCCTAAATTTTATTTTTATGTCCATCTGGCGGATTAATTTAACACTTTAGACACGTATTTTTTTTTCTTACAAAATTAAATGTTTTTGACGATATATCGATTTGAAATGTCGTGTGACGTCACAGCGTGCAACAAAATGTACCACGTTGTGACGTAACTACCTCCCACTCCTAAACTTAACTCCATTTTATTTAAGTATTGTAACTTTATACGAGAAAATATAAAAATACGTGTGTAATATTATTTCATTATCTTACTGACGGACTAATTAGATTTTTAATTTTCTTACCCTGGAAACTACCCTATTCCTTAGCACCCATTTTGATCTTCAATTTTGTTCTTCTTCAGGTGATGTCGGTCCTCCATCGGAACTCTTCGACTTAAATATGCTGGTCATCATTTGCAGTTCCATTCTCCTCACAATCTGCCTTCTTAGTTGTATCTACATACTTGTGAAGAGACAAAGGTAAGCTAATTAGGTTACAGTTTCCACGTACTTATTCGAGGGGATACTCTACTAGTTACAAACTATAACAGGGATCATAACCATTATCAGTGATCGAATGACGTGGTGTAGGTAGATTACGACTGGTGTGGCCTCATGAAACCAATTTAAGCTACAACCCTTAATATAATAGTTTTAAGAAAAAACTGTATAGCATTTATTTGCATTATTAAACGAGCAGATGAATCACCTGATGGTGAATCGGCGTCGCCCATGAACACTCGGAACACCAGAGGCGTTACATTTGCGTTATCGGCCTTTTGGGGATTAGGAATTTGAGAATTGTTTGGGATTCAGGGATTGGGGAGAAAGGCGACGGGGGGGGGGGAGGAGCTAATTTCCGGTAGCCTCACGTACACGACTTAACACAACGCAAGCGTTATTTCACGTCGGTATTCTGCTCGGCCGTGATGGCACTCCGGTCGAGCCGGCCCATTTGTGTCGAAGCATGGCTCTCCCACACTTAAAACTGTAATAGAATCCTAGTATAATCTGGTATTTGTAGTGTTTTACCATTAAGATTGCTTTAAATATTAATTACATTAGAAAAGACGTCTTTTTTTGAGGGGGGAAAACCATTCAATGACTTCTCCCGGGTGTCGCGAGAGGGAGTTTTACTGAGTAAAAACAACCCCGTTTCTACTTCGAGTCTTCGACCCGGAGCCCCGGCAACCCGTTAAGTCGGACATAACGTCCTCCGCGGCTCCGTACTGGCATCAGCCCTATTGGGCCCCATCCGTGGTGGTCTGATGGCTCTTTGATGACACGCGACGCGCCGTACGCTCGGTAGAAAACACGTCAGGATGAGTGTTTGTTATTAGTTAACGTGTAAACTGCTGAACTAAAACCAAAATAAGTAATTTGGCTTCGACATGCAGTCTGGAAGGAAAATACAAAATTTTACCTAGTCCCGTACAATGCACTTGATTCATAAGGATATTTATTTTTGACTCAAATATACACAATCTTTTATAAAATAAGTCATAATTTACGGTGGGTCCATCAACAGGTCATACACAACCACAACCACAATACCAAATACGGATCGACGGTGTTTGCACATAACATCAAATAACATGTAATATATAAATAATAGTAATTATTTAAGTGCCTATGTATGTCTGTCTATTTTTAACCAATATAATTAAAAAGCTACTATAAAACTATGACTGCCTCGTTGGTTGAGTGGTCGCAAGTGCGACTGCCGGGCAAGGGGTCTCGGGTTCGATTCCCAGGTGGGGCAAAGTATTACTGGTTTTTTTTTTAATCTCAGTAGTAGCGCGGAGTCTAGAATTGTGCCCGGTATTGGGTGGGTGTTATATTGTACAGTGGTGTAATGCACCTCTGCCTACCCCTTCGGGAATAAAAGGCGTGATGTTATGTTATATGTTATGTTATAGTTGTAAAAGTGACATGACTTTATAACAATTATTAGACTGCACGGTTGGTGCGGTGGCTAGGCAACCGGCTGCCGTGCAACGTGTCGCGGGTTCGATTCCCGCACGGAACTACACTTTGTGTGATCCACAAATTGTTGTGTCGGGTCTGGGTGTTATGTGTATGTGAACTTGTATGTTTGTAAACGTACCCACGACACAGGAGAAAATCCTAGTGTGGGGCAACGTTTTTTCAAATAAAATATATGTATATATATATATATATTTTAAATTTGTATTCACAAACCCATACACGATTTACTAAGTATATAGAGTATCACCTCTTTTATAGGGACAGGCATAGGTGCACATTACGGCACTTAATGCCACTGTACAATGTAACACCCACTTTTCACTATTTATGTTATGAGTCTCATGTAATAGGGGGTGAGCCTATTGCCATATACTGGGCACAATGCCAGACTCTGTGCAACTACTAAGATTTTTTTTAACTAACACAGTACCTAATACTTTGCCTGACCTGGGAATCGAACCCAAGACCCCTTGCCCAGCAGTCGCACTTGCGACTACTCGGCCAACGAGGCAGTCGTTCAACGTTGGTCAAAATTGACCGCATTGGTAGTCATTGCGTTAAAATACTACCTACTTACGAATTCAAGCACTATAGGTACCCTTTATTTTGTTTACATAAAACTATAATTATTGAACACTTTCGAATTATATTTATCCTGTGGGTAGTGAATGTTCAAAACATGTTTAAATGAATTACGTATTATATATAAGGTTAACTTTTCATTTCATTTCAAAAGCTATTTTAACAACATATTAATAAGAATTTAAATTAAATAAATATATACAACTTAAAATATAAATAAAAAAACTAAACCTTAAAAAAGTAATAATATTAAAAATGCTATCTTAAACTGTCAAACACCAAGTGGTCACCGGTGACCACAACCTATTGTTCTATAATTGTGTCTACAATGACGCTACTCGACGAGTTAAGGCATCGAAAAAAAAATAATAACGTATTTATTTCCAGGACTGGCAACTTAACAGAATACCGAGACTCTATAACCGTAGACAATAAATCAGAGAGCGGGAACTTAACGGCAAATACGTCACACACCAATTTGGCGAATGTGAAGGAAAACGCAATCAACGCACAGAATAGGATATACAGCGCTCCTATACATCTGAGGAATAATAGCAAGCATGGTAAGATATAATATCTCTTTATTATGCTTCTCCTAACAATAACCTTTCGCCCTGGATTTTTTTTTTTTTTAAGGGCGGAAAATCATCTAATGACTGCTCCCGCCTGGGCGAGGCGGGAGGGAGTGTCAGACTCTTACTGACTAAAAACCACCCCGTTCCTTCTCCTGCACGTCGAGCCGGAGCCCCGGTTACCCGTTAGGTTCTCCGCGACTCCTAATCGGCATCAGCCGTATTGGGCCCCATCTGTGGTGGTCTGATGGCTCTTTGAGGCGCGCGCGGAACGCTCGGCGCCGTACGCTCGGGTCTGTTTCTGGTCGGACGGGGAGCCACCCATGCTCTATGTCCGCAGGCCCGCGCTGACGGTGGCCGGAGATCGTCCCGCGATCCCCGACGCCCGGTGTGTCCTTCGCGATGGCTGGGTTGCGAGGAAGCAGCGCTTCGCTGCCTCACGCGCTCCGCATCCTCCTCTTCGCCCTGGTTTAGCTTACTTTGTTCTGTAACTTTTTTGTTCCTGTCCGTTATCATGGTCCTATCCAGGTAATTGTTATCGCAATGGCTTATTCGTATAGTTTAATTTCGTATGTACATACGACTGACTTCTAAGATACAGGTTTTTTCCTAGTTTAGAAGTCAGGGCGCTTTTGCTCTGGCCACAGTCATGATCCTGGAAATGTAAAAAATGTGGTCTGTCTGGTAATAATAAAGATTTATATTACATTTATTTTAATATACACTATATTTTATTAGTTATGCATCTATAACGGCTTGAAGTGGAACTGGGCTAGTCATGCCTGCCGCATGTCAGACGAGCGGTGGGCAAAACTTACTACTGAGTGGAGCCCACTTAACGTCAGTAGAAATGGCGGCAGGCCCAAAAGGAGATGGCGGGACGAATTAGACATCTATGACAAGGATTGTACGCAAAAAGTTTTACATAGAGAGGAGTGGAAGGAGGGTAGGGAGGCCTTTGCTCTGCAGTGGGACGATCATGGCTGAATAAATCTATAAACCGTGGTACTATCGGACTATGAGGCCTTCTCTACATAAGAACGTAACTTGTAACTTCTTATATAAATCTAATGTGGGACAACGATTATTAAAAAAAATATATCTACATTTTCCAATACCACGTCTGCAACCTGGGCCCTGGGTCGCCTCGGCCTTTTAAGAGGGACTTTTCCATTATGCCCACGTGTGGTAGCTGTCTCAGTTTTCCGTTTTCCATCACAGATAGAAATCTTGTTTAGCCGTTGGGATCAGTTGACATAATGCATAAACATAATGCGTGTTTACGTTTATGTATTATGTCAACTGCATTATATCACAGGCGTTACAACAAGTCAAAAGCTATAAATATATAATCACCGAACATATCTCATCATGATAACTTAAGCTGGTTCTGAAGAGCAAATTACAGATGCCCTTGACAAGGAACGTAGAACACTGGCCTTCCTTCAAATCTGATTAAGACTCAGTCTAGACTTTTTTTTTATAGCATAAGCCGATAAACGAGAAAACGGATCACTTGATGGTAAGCAATCGGCGCCGCCCATGGACACCCGAAACACCAAGGCGTTACAAGTGCGTTATCGGCCTTTTGGGAATTAGGAATTTGAGGATTGTGGAGGATACGGGGATTCGGGAGACTAGGGAGGGGGGTAATTAAGCCTCCGGTGACCTCACTCACATGACGAGACACAACGCAAGCGTTGTTTCACGTCGGTTTTTTTGAGGCCGTGGTATCACTTCGGTCAAGCCGCGCGCGCGGGAGGCGCGCAAAACACTAATTTGAAAAGAGATGGACCAAAGTAGGCAATGCAATTTCCTGCATACGTTAAAATAAAAATTCATATCGATAAGGAATAACGTACGAATAATTGCTTAAATACGATAATTAGATTTCGATGCAAATTTTTCCTTAATATACAGTTATGGCGTCACAAGATAAGCTATCTTGGTTGCTAACGCTTAAAATAGGCACAGTGAAGCGTGGGAAAAACCGATAAATTTATTTTTGTATTGGTGTTGGTTAATGTGCATTAATTTATTCGATTTCCTCAGATTATAAATGTTATGTAACAATATATTACGTCAAAGCATTTAATTACAATTTTAGTTGTTACATTTTTTTATAACATAATAATAATAATGTGAAGTTGTGTAGGTATCTCTGTTTTTTATGAAATAAGCCGGTAAACAAGCTCACATATCACCTGAGCAATCGGCGCCACCCAAACACCAGAGGTGTTACAAGTTCGTTACCGGCCTTTTGGGTATTAGGAATTTGAGGATTATTGGTGATTCAGGCACTGGAAAGATTGGGGGGTAGTTAATTGTCAATCTACATCTAATTTACCCGCATCTTCTTGGAATATGTATCAGAGACATTGTAGAACATATTTTTTTTTAAAGAGTAACGAATGGAGTTCCTATCTCGTTCTTTTCCATTGTCGCGTGCGCTTGAGGTAACTCGAATGTGACATCTGTGATGTCAATGTCAAAATATGCGTTTAGTTTCTGAGACTTGTTTTCAAATTCAAATTCAAAATTCTTTATTATTATCTTAAGAATTACACTATCTGTCTAACATTGAGGCAGTCCCAGTAAGTTATTATACAATACTTGTGTTGGGACTGACTCGATCCTTTCTTTATTTATTTAACACTCTTAAGAATAATAACCTCGAGATCTGCTAATTAAAGGAAAACAACAAAAATTAAAGTAGATATAGTAAAATAAGAAATAAAAAAGTTACAAATATAAAAAAAAAAAACTATGGTAGAACGGTATGTTAAAAGCAATTGATTTGTATTTTTTTTTTTGGGAGTAGATGTATGAATCGATGTGCGTGTGTGTGTGTGAGAAAGAGAGTGAGTGAGTGAGTGAGTTTATGTATGTATGTATGAATGTATGTATGTATATGTATGTATGTGTGTATGTATCTGTTTGTATGGTGTTTGTATGTTTGTTATTGAATTCTAATCAAAATGTTCTCAGTGTCTTCGTACGACAAAGTTTTTAACCATTCCGTTAATAACCTCTTACATTCACTGAGAAGTCTGGGATAAATTTTGATTTTTGCGTTTATTTTATTGTAGATATAAGATGCCTGCGTCACATACTGTCTCTTAGCAAGAGTTGTTCGGACTTTAGAAGTGTGCACCACGATACCTCCTCGCCTTCTGTCTTGTTGGGGTTTACTGTATGGCAGAGATTTATGCAGATTTAAAGTCACGTTCAGAATGTACAATTTCCTTACACTTAACAAACCACTAAGCTTATATAGATCTTCAGTTGCATATCTATAAGGTTTGAAATACATCACCTTTATAATTAACCTCTGAGCTCTTTCTAGTTCTATAAGTTTACTTTTAGTGGCACCTCCCCACACGGGTATACCATAAATAATTACTGATTGTGCTAAAGCATAATAAACATTATTCAGTACTTCCGAGGACATCACAAAACGTAATGTTTTAAATAACCAAACTAGTTTCCTCACTCGAGATATGATGCTATCTATATGCAAGTGCCATGACAAGCGCTCATCAAGAATTATCCCTAGATATTTTATTGAGGGGACCCGTTCAATGCTCTGACATGCACATTTTTGAGTATTATGTAATTGGCATTTGTGAAGAGTGATTCGATAGCTGTGGTCCGGCTGTGTTCTTTTGCTGGGAGAAAAAGCGATGTATTTTGTTTTTGATGAGTTCAAGGTTAATAGGTTAGTTTTTAGCCAGTTTGCCACTACCAATAGGCCGTGTTCAGTATTTTGGTGAACCAGTTTCCAACTTTCGCCAGAGTATACAATAGCTGTGTCATCAGCGTATGAGAATATTTTCCCACCACAACTTTTCAGTTTGCACAGTTCGTTGATGTAAATGAGAAATAGAGTCGGTCCCAGTACACTTCCCTGTGGCACACCAAAAACTACTTCCTCCTCCATACTATGATAATTGTTTATTTTTACTCTCTGCTTCCTACCGCTTAGGTAGCTATCAAACAGAGAAAGAGCAACACCCCGAACACCGATATTCTCCAGCCTTTGGACGAGGATTGGAACGGACACAGTGTCGAATGCTTTTTTGAGATCGAGGAACACCGTAATACACTTACGGCCCGAATCCACTATACATGTAATCTCTGTCGTCAAAGCTTTTACAGCATCCAGTGTTGAAATTCCACGTCTAAACCCAAATTGAGAATCAGAAAGAATGTTATATTTATTTAAGTATCCAACTAGTCTCTTGTTCAATATTTTTACTACAATTTTGGATATAGATGGCAAGACAGAAATAGGTCGATAGTTGTTAATATCATTTAGATCACCACTTTTATGTACTGGTGTTACTAGAGAGTGCTTTAGGGCATCGGGGAAGATTCCTTTGTTAAAACACAAATTCGTCAGTTTACTGATGAGAGGAACAATGATGTCTCTAGACAGCTTTAGATAGCTAATAGGAATTCCATCCCAACCCGAAGCACTGCCCGAGTCAAGTGCCATAAGTGTATCATTCACCTCCTTTGCATCCGTTTCAAGCAGGACAAAAGAATTTACACGGGAGTGAGAAGTGTTTAAAACCTCCTGACTAGAAGAAACCATATTATTTTGAATCATAATCTCTTCAGCCAGGTCTTTACCAATAGTTACAAAAAACTGGTTGACTCTGTTAAGAGAGTTTACTGGATGAGGTGTGATTTGGAGTAAGTTTTCGTTGGGTGAATTTTGGTTTTTTAAAGTTTGTTATGTCATTAATGCAGCGCCACATTTTTTTAGGGTTTTTTATGGAACTAGTTATTTCCATCTTGTAGTGTTGCCTTTTTAGTTTTTTAATTAAGTTACAGCAAAAAGTTCGAAAGCGCTTGTAAGTAATTTTCATTATTACATTGTGAGGGTATTTTCTAGTTTTTAGCTGCATTTTGTTTCGTAGTCTTATACATCGCAACGCACCAACAGTTACCCATGGCTTCAGAGTCCGTCTTGAGCTGCGAACCATTTGGGTACTGGTGTTTAGAAGTAAAGATGTCTTAATTAGTTCAATTAATTTATTGGAAAAAGTATTTGGATCGTTATATATATTTAAATAGCTTTTTTTCCTATTTCCTATTTTATTATTGTATTGTATATAGCCTGAAGCTACGGGCGTGTGCTGAAATTCAGCGCCGCGACTCGAGCTATTGCGCTGGGGTCACGGCACTTAAGCTAAACTCTGGCCTTTTTGCGCCGTCGGCACTATATTTTAAACTATTTTTTTTCGTGTTATAATTTTTTATTTATTTCTTTCTTCTTCTATTTATGAAGAAAGCGTAGATAATAAATAGTTCATCATTATCACAAAATTAAATTGTTTAGATTTTTCAGTCCAATTAAATATTGAAAAATAGTTACACTTTCATTCATTTATTTGCCGAAATACTTAATTTTCGATTTATTGTAGCATTTTTTTTATATAAGTGCGTTATTTAACGCGAAAATATGATGACGTCATAAGACGGTAATTCGTACAAAATTCATAGAACAGTATCGTTTTTAACGTTTCGATAAAAGTAATGAATTTGACTAGTTGTCAACCACCGTATTATAGTAATGATCAGAAGAAAAAGGACAAATGTATTCGAACTTATCACTACCAGCCATTAAACTGTCAAACACCAAGCGGTCACCGGTGACCGCAACCTATTATTCTATAATTGTGTCTATAATGACGGTACTCGACGAGTTAATAGTTATAAATTGATTAATTAATACATACATACATAACATCACGCCTTTTTATCCCCGAAGGGGTAGGCAGAGGTGCACATTTCGGCACTTAATGCCACTGTACAATG